ATTACCGACGTCGCCCCACGTTGGGCGCCAAATGAGACTGGCGTTATTTTTCTGACTACAAATTTAACGAATAATGCCGACACCTGGCGCGGCCTGGGTCAATGGCTGCCAGGGCTCTAAGTTTTGACGAAATTACCTTAATTAATTGGGCGCCAGTTAGTTTTATGAGAACTAACAAACTCATATTCCGTATTTAATTCTCCTAATATTCGGTAATCGGCTAGCGATTTCAAGCTTTAATCATGAGACAACACAAGGGGAGTTCCGTCGGGAGACCCAAGGAATATTGTGGAAGTCAAAAGAAATCAGAGAGATAATCAAGCGACATATGAGTGTATTGAAATAATTTGACTTACGTTACAATTACGCCGCTATTCGTCACAAAACGGCCCACACAACTCGTTCACAATCATTAGACGTACGCCGTCTACACAAGTATATTAACCAATTCATATATCGTCGAATCTACTCGTAACAATGATTCTTAACCGGCAAACAACTGATCGTTATACATTATTGGATTACATTATAATTTACGCAGGACTGATTCCGCCGAAGGCCGACGGAAGAGTCGCCGAGATCTCTCGGTCGTTCCGCTACCACGCGCCCACCCCCTTCGATCCTACCAATCGTTGCGGATCGATATATTTTGTCACATGCGGCTACGCTATTGGCTCTCCGTCTCGACGGTTTACAGGGTTCGGCGCTCGTGCCGCGCGGGCAACAGAGAATGTACAGTCGGTATTTCATAAATTTTGTCGGATCGATTGTTACATCGAGCATCGATGTCGAGGGAAAGGATTTAAACATCGAGTGTCGATGTCGAGGAAAGGGTTTTAATTTTCCTGTCACAACTTATACTTATGCACTTTTATGCTCACTTACTTATATACTTAAAAAGTTGACTCATAAAAATAAAATTATAGACAATATAATTAATATACAGTATTGATTTTTTATTTAGAACCACTTATTTTGCTTAAATCATGTTTTACATGCATAAGTTACGACAAAGAAGCAATTAAACAAACTTTGTAGTTCCTATATAACTTTATCCAGATTTCAGAAAAAAATGTGTTTCTCAGCATTACGTAATTTTTTAAATTATGTAATTTTTAAAATTACGTACCGATTTGGAACAATCCGTTACGTGATTAATTGTCATTAATTACGTAATTTCGTTACGTGATTTTGTGATGTAATTTCATGACGTGATTTCGTGACGTGATTTTTTTCAGTAGGGCTTATTTTATGTATATTTTGTTCAAAAAAAGTTTTAATCGGTTTAAAAAGTACAAAATCATTTCTTGTTTAATGGAATTGACGTGGAATTGACTATGTAGATATGTATAATATTTATATGTATGTACATATGTATATATTTCTTTTTTCGAAATAGTGACCATCTGAACTTACACAACAATCGAAGTGCTTTTAAGGAACCTATTAAATATAAAAATAAAAATAATAACCACGCTCGTATGAATATAAAAATTAAAAAGAAAAAGGCCAATAATCGAGCATTAGTAGATGTTAAACCATATAATTCATTAACATATGTACAAAGAACGGAACGTGATTTGTACATATGATTTCACCGAGTCTTCTTCAGCCGCAGTATAAAATATCATAAGTTAACATAAATTATGTATATTCGTCGTAGTTACAAAAATATAAAATTCTTAAACTTATAGAGCCACATCACCGTTCGAGAGCCTAACGAATACATACTGAGTTTTTGTCGTTGCATCTACGAAGTCAAAACCGGAGATAAAATGTAGTCAGCGAAATTACATAATTAATTCCTCGTTCGGAGGCGAGAATAAATCGGGTCCAGTCCATAAGAAGTGTTGTTTTTGTCAGGTTGTATGGTCAAAGTATAAAAAGGATTGTCTGAAAGGAGATCATGTGTAACTGAATTAATTGTCGTAAGTATAAAATTCGTTAAAACTTACATGTATCTGTCAGGACGTGTAATTTGCGATGTAATGCTCTTTCTCGTGTTACGGATGTCAAATGACTGCGCGGATTGTCGGAACGAACAGAGTTGTAAACAAAACAATGTATACATAGACCGAAAATTAGTTGAAGTTCTTGTTATTGGCTAGCTCGTCAAGTACACTAAAATATGAGTCATTGAGAAATTTTGTGTCTGTATTAGAATTGATCCCGTTTTTTTGTTCCTTGATGTGTAGCATCTCTGATATAAGTCTCTTATAAAAATTTGGTTCAAAATCGAGTATCGCTATAGTGTCCCAGTCGAAAGCGTGATTGAATTTTGTAATGTGCTCGGAAATCACAGAATGCCTCGATGGATCCGTTTTTATGTTATTTTTGTGTTTGTTTAATCTAGTTTTAAGTTGTCGCTTTGTCTGTCCTACGTAAGAAGCACTGCAATCTTTACACGAAATTTTGTAAATTACATTATTGTTCAAACTTCCGGGATTTTTGTCTTTTTGTGCCTTAACGAACCTGCCAAAATTATTTAATACTCTGTATCCTACCATATGTTCATCATTGTTAAGTAAATGAGCAACTTTGTTAGATATGTTTTTTATAAACGGGATGACTATGAATTTTTTACTCTGTAGCGTGTGTTCGCTATGTTGACTTGATGATTCAATTTCATTTGTGTGTCTAAGTTTACTGTTAAGCAGATATTTTAATCTCAGCTTGACTTTTCTGAAGATTAATTCAAGAGGGTACCCATTATTCAGTAAAATGTTGATGATTATTACCAAATTTTTTGTGTGGTACATGGGGTGAGACAGTAGGATAGTTCTGTCCACTAAGCTGAATATAAGTATCCATTTTGTGACAATCCGGGTGACCCGAGTAGTAAGAAAGGTATCTACCAGAGGACATTTTCTTTTGATACCAATCTATGTATAAAGTATTCTCAATAACGTGCAGAGACAGATCTAAGAAATTCAAGCCGCGATCGACCTCATATTCCACAGTAAACTTTAGTCTTTTGATAACTATTAAAAATGTCTACGATATCCTGTATTTTATCAGAGGGTGCTGCCATTATTATGTCATCAACATAGCGACGATAGAAAGTCAATGCTAATCCAATCAATCTCAGTGATGTTTCCTCTAGGTCTTGCATCACGACGTCAGCAACGATCGGGGATAATGGCGATCCCATTGGTGCACCATAGGTTTGCCTGTATATCACGTTATTAAAAGTGAAATATGTGGACGTTAAAACAAACTCGAGAGTTAGTAAAAATTCTTTTTTCGGTATTTTTGTTATTTTACTTATGTGATGCCAACGGTTACCAACCCCTTGATTGCAAGATCCAGAGGAACATTGGTGAACAAAGACGTTACATCTAATGAGACCAGGACATCCGAATTGGAGATTTTTTTTGTTGGAAAGTTCTCTGTACAAATCGAAACTGTTATCTACGTGACCAACCGCATGGGGAATGCCTTCCGAGATTATATCATTCAGATATCTTGCGAAGGCATATAAAGCTGTGTTTACGGATGAGACTATATAATTCTAAAAGGGTCTTCTAAAAGAATCTTCGGGAGACCATAGGTTTTAGGTAGGAGAGAATCGCTAGACCGGAGTTTATACAAATCTTGTTTAGAAATGTAATCCTTCTGGTGCCATATCTTTAATAAGTTGTTCAACTTATTTTCTATTTGTTTGGCCGGATTCTTGGTGACCACCGTGTACGTATTGGTATCATTTAGCATGTTTTCAATTTTTTGTACATACATGTTTTTATTTAAAGCTACTGTGACATTACCTTTGTCACTTCTTGTGAAAATAATATCGTAATTTTCAGTACGGAACCGTTGGGTCTTTTTTGCATTAAAAATAATTTATTGCTGATTGTATCACTACTCGGATTCGTATGTAAAAAATTATGGAATTGTGGGATGACAAGATTACGTATTTTAGTAAGATTTTTTATGTTGTGGTGTCTAGTATTGCCTTCGATGTCCTTGATAAATTCATGGATAGCTTTCTTTTTATTATGGTTCAACGGCAGGCAAAACTTGCCTCCAAGTTGTAATAGGTTTGTGACCTCAGAAGGAATTTTCTTGTTAGACAAATTAGTGAACCATTTGTCGTTCGTGTTATCTAAAAGATTATTTATTGTTGATTGTAAATTTATTCGGATCGACATACGTTTCAATTATGGACTCATTCGATTTTATGCCTGTAGTGTTATTTATGAACCGTATATTCCCTGAGTTAGAGTTATCAAGGATACAAAAATATTTAATTGGATTGATTTTCTTAGGTTCGTTTTGAAAAGTTATTTCTAGTAGCCACTCAAATTTCTTTTTGTTGGATAAGTATAATCTATGTTGAAGATTCATAAAGGGAGAACAATGTATTTGGTGATCTCGTTCCATACATGCCAAGGCAAAACATTCGAAAGTCTATTAGATAAAAAAGCAATTTCTCCATACAGGTAATCTAACACTCTATGTAAGTCGAAGATCTCGATCTGTAACGCTTTTTTTCTAAATAATTTGTTGAGAAAACTCTCTAGTTTATTAAGTGATTTTAGATGATGAAGTACGAGTGTATTCGTTAGGCTCTTGAACGGTGATGTGGCTCTATAGTTTAAGAATTTTATATTTTTGTAACTACGACGAATATACATGTTAATGAAATAAAATGAAACATGAAATTTATGTTAACTTATGATACTACAGCTGAAGAAGACTCGGTGAAGTCGAAACGTTCCGTTCTTTGTACATATGTTAATTAATTATATGGTTTAACATCTACTAATGCTCGATTATTGGCCTTTTTTTTTAATTTCTATTAAATATACTTTCTAAAATATTAATAATTATAACTATGCCTTTAAAGAATTTCAGATAAATTATATTTATGGAAATGGCAATACCGAGATATTTTGTATATTCTAACAGAATTTAAAAAATTATGCGATCTATATAAAATTGTAAAATATAAATATCATTCATAATAAAATACACATATAAAAATACAATATTACAAGAGAAAATTTTTCTAAGAGCATTTTATTGATTTACAATACGATGCTGTATAATGTAGACATTTATCTGAAGAAACAAACTTTTATTAATATGAATAGAATAGATATTTCTTATATCGTTATATTGAAATAATAGATTCATTATTCGTATAGATTTAGATATTTAAAACTTAGATGAAGTCCTTCCAGAGACATGTGAGGAGATCGAGAGACTTGTCGCACATATCTGGTTTTGTTTTAACTGTAATAATAATATAAAATATATATTAATTAATAATTATTATTTGTATATTATTTTTATTTATTATGTAGATTATATACAAGGTAAGTCACTATTTTCACTTCCGATAACTTTGTAACTATTGTTGCTATAAAAATTAGTTTAAACGATTTTGATACATATATGTATGTGTATTTATCAGAAACTCTAACATAGGATATGCATTTTATTATTGAACATCCTAAATATTTTAATTGTTCTACATTTTTTATAAGATTTATCTTATTATGTATAAATATATATTAAAATTTGTTTCTTATTGTTAGTTGTTTTGATCGATTTTGATCATCGTGATCCCTCTGCATATATTTGTGCGTCAGGTATATAAGATCTACAATTTAACACCAATTTCGAATGGCTTATTCTACAGAGAAGGGTGTTCATGGCAAGATATACTCTCGGTGGGGTTATATCTCTCTTTTGAGATATGGCAATCAAATAAAAACTAATGATTTTTTTATCAGATTTGAACACAGATTTTCCATTTAATAGAGCAGCGTACATCTCTCTGCGCCACGATCGTCACGCATATCAAAATAAGGTCAAACAAATTTTACTATTTTACTAGATATTTAATGTACGTTTTATGTTAAAATGTGTCAGAAAGAAGCATGAGCTATCTAAGGAGATACAAGGTGTCTCGTAATAAGATGTCTATAGTTTGATTACATGTTTTTGGGATTATTTTGAGTAAAGAAGTTTAAATCAACATAGGCTCGAATTGCAATAGTTTCTCAATAAAATCAGAACTTCCAAATTATAATTTTGTTGTGTTATTGTGATTTAATTGCAATGTTGTTTTAAGGAATATAGCACATTCTGAATTAAGTGTCATATTTAAAGCTCAAAATGACCACCATTGTCGAGACACCTTTGAGCTCTTTCTGCTGTAAAAGAACTGATGATTGCTCTCATTACAACATCGCCATCATGCGATGAAACCGTTGCAATTTGGACCCATGTTGATTTGAACTTCTTTACTCAAAATAATTTCAGAGACACTTAGTCAAGCTATGGATGTCCCATTACGGGATACCCTGTAAGTATAAGTATATATGCACATATACTTGCCTTGTTCAACGCAACGGTCCACAGTTGCATATATTTTAGCTTGAGTACCGGGATTTAGGTGAGCATGTGCCGATTTGCCATAGAGCTTGTCCTTCTGAATCTCCGAGTCAACAATCTATAATTGTAAAAAGAAATAGTAATTATAAGTCGATATTGTAAAAAGAAATAGTAATTATAAGTCGATATTTAAAATTCTTGTATATTCTAGATAATATCTTAAATTTAAAACGAGGATTATTATTATAGTCAAAAAGTGTGAGTGAAGAATAGAGGAAGTTTTGATAATTTGAACCATGCGGGCAAGTTGAACCATTACGATATCTAGATTATTAAATAATTAAAATTGACGATTTGGTGTGTGTATCGCTTACAGCGTAAGGTTAGTATATATAAACTTTTATTTTGCAGTTAATCTACTTTACAGATTCTTAGTCGCCTTCTGTTGCATGTAAAACTAAGATAGAACTTTAGTGCAGTCTATTTAGCAAGTGTCATATAGTGTACACTTCTATTGTGTACGATAAAAAGGTAAAAATAGCGATATTAGAAAATTTTGAGATAATTTATATAATACTTTTTATAAATATTTGCATTTTATATTCTATTGTTTCTTTCTTTCAGAAATAATAATATTATAATGAGCATACATTATAAGTATATATTATTATAAGTAAAAGTTTTAAACATGTTATTATATTTGTATGACATTGTTACAAAGAGCACCAAAATTAGAGTTTGTAATATATTAGAATGAAACAAATATATAATAATATATAGATAATAATTTTTATAGACTATTTTATTTATACGATTATATGATTTATTAATACGCTTTAAAATACGATAAAAATTAATTTCTTGCAAGATTAATAAAGTGGTTCACGACATGGTTCAAATTACCCTACAAAAATATACCTTCAAAAATTTTGTTATAATATTAAATTCACTATAAATAAACGAAATTTGTTAGAAACACGTTGTAACAAATATTTGACATTATAACTCAGTGAAAACAAAGTTCAGTTATCTTTAACAGTTTTTAAGTTATCTTGAAAAAGGCTTACGGTTTGTGATTCAAATAAAATTTTTCACATTTAGACTTTGCGTCGCAATATCTTCGCTCGTACGGCACGTAGCGGAAAATATTATAAGAGATACCTTCCCCCCCCAATTCGACCCAAGCTATCGATCAAGTCTACTTAAAACTTGATCCGTTCACTCGTTATATGAGATCTCAAAATCTTGAGCATTCGCAAATCGTCGCGTCGCGTAAAAGAGTCACGGTCGGTCTCGCTCCGCGTGTACTTGGCGCGAGACACTACCGTGTCTCTTGATTACCCGAACTTCCTCTAAAAACTAGACAAATGGTAATTTTTTACCAGTTTCATGCTAGTATAATATGTACACTATTTCTTGTGCGCGACTTCGTAATAGCGACAGACTTCTCAGATTACATTGTTTACGTTTACGCGATCACGCGTAACTTCTTATCTCGGTGACATACATGTACATATATACGGGCTTCGTAATTATACTAGTCCATATTCAATGCCATTTATGTATATACAAGATATTTGCAAACAAAAAGTTACATATCGTACATATACGTCGTTTGCAGCTAAAGAATTAATATCACGATATAATCTATTAATCAATGATGAAACACATACATTATTATCAAGTAAAGACCGTTGGGACATATTGACATCTTTGATAACAATTCAGAAACAATTCAGAGTGCAATTTCATCGTTGATTAATAGACTATGTTGTTAATATTAACAGATAGTGCAGTTTAAAACACGTAAGAAAAACAATAAATAATGTATTCTTTATTTTTGATAATTAATTTTAACTTTTGCTTTTAAATTCTTTTTAAATAATTGATGTGTAATTATATAATTAATACTTGCCTGGCCTCGTTTTCGTAATATGCACAACGTGAAGCATCCGTTTTTTTTTGCCTTTTCTTGATTTTCTGGATTTTTATAAGATCCATCTTTTATTTCCGCGTTTGTAATCAAATTAGCTAGAAAATAATTAATTATTGTTATTATAAATTTTTTTTGTAAAAAAATTAATGTTTATTTTAATGTATTTTATTTTAATTATTGTTATGTAAATTTATTTATATTGTTTTTAAATTATATTTTTTATAACGTTTTTAAAGTTACTTATTTTGACTTATATTATAAAAAATATTTACTAAATATAAAAAATAATCGAGATAGCTATATACCAAATACCAAAATATTTTTAAATAAATATGTAAATAAATTTAAATAAATATGTAAGTAAATCAATTTAAGAAATTTTAAGAGATTTTACTTTCCGCTAGATTCGCGTTGTTATAGCATTCTTGCAAATCTGCAGTGGATAATACTCCACCATGTAAAGCTATATCCGCAATAGTGTCTGCATAAACCACAATCTGAAATCAATATTGTTATATAAACTACACACACAAAGCCTGCAATAAAAATATAGTTTAAATATAACAATTTTATAAAAATCGTATATATGATAATACATATTTCTGAATATTAAATTCTGATAAAAATATATATTTATCTATAGGTATCATTTTTATAAATATGTAAGTTATAAGTATTATATTATAAGTGTATATAAATATTTTACATATATTTTGTATTTTTAACAAATGAGAATTACACAGTGTCCAATAAATTCGCGAACTACGTCTATTAAATAAGAACATTTGTGCTAGGGAGATTATATAGACTCCTAAATAATAAAAAAGTCGTACGTATTGTTCCTATTTAATAAGTAATAGTAACATGTGTTCGTGAACTTATTAGACATATTGTGTATGTGCTAAACAATTTTTTACGATTTTCAATTCTTTCTTTCTTAACAGTACCTATATTAGTTTAAAAGGAGCTTGCAAAGAAAATCATTTTAATTATAACTAGATTTTTCCCCAAACTCACTCATTAATTAGGAGCACCTTTGATATTCTTTCTCCTCAAACTCTAACCTACATCTCTTCGAATTTTTTTTTTTTTAAATAAAAAATAATAGATAATAGGTATAATAGATGCAGATTAGCATATTGTCAAATATTTCAAAAATGTATAATCCCTTATATTAAAGTCTTTAAATTTTATTTTTGCTCGTGCCTCGCGCGTGTTTACCCTCCGTTGATCCACCATTATTAACTTTCTTTTATTTTCTTTTTTTGAAATCATCAAAAAATTAGAAAACTTTTGGCACTGGTTTCAAGAAAATCAATTCTTAATGAAAAATTATCCATTAATAAAGAAATAAACTTATCCTCCAAAAATTAAAAAAATTTTGACTCCTATTTTATATATAATTTTTTAAGATTTGGTCAATTAATACCCGAAAAATTGGAAAAATTTTGTAACCGGTTCCCAAAAAAATCGGTAACAAAAAATTATACACTTTATAGCAAACCCCAGGAAATTCTACCTTTATTTCATATACAATTCTTTGAAATTCGATCAATTAACTCCCGAGAAATTTGAAAAATTTCGTAACCGGTTTCCACAAAAATCGGTAACGAAAAATTATCCATAAAAAAAATTTATCTTGATATCTCAAAATTTATGGAAATTGGAGCAGAAATCGGAAACCCCTTTATTATTAGCAATTTTTCCATAAACTCATCGTAGCCATCCTCAAAAAATTAGAAAATTTTGAAATCGGTTTCCAAAAAATCGGTTATAAAAAATTATACACATCTTCGCCATCCCCAAAAAATTAGAAAAATTTGGGCATTGTTTTTAAAAAAGTAACAAAAAATTATCTTTGAAAAAATTCAGCTAATATCTCAAAATTTGAGGAAATTAGAACAATCACGTACCTACATTTTTTTAAACAAAATTTGAAAACCCCTTTAGAAAAATTGGAAAAACTTCGTAACCGGTTTCAAGAAAATCAATTCATTAATAAAAAATTAAACTTATCCTCCAACAATTAAAAAAATTTTGATACACGACTCCTATTTCATATATAATTCTTTAAGATTTGGTCCATTAATTCCCGAAAAATTTCAAAAAATTTGTAACCGGTAACGAAAAATTATACACTTTATAGCAATCTCGGGGAAATTCTACCTTTATTTCATATGTAATTCTTTAAGATTCAATTATTTTCCGAGAAATTGGAAAAATTTTGTAACCGATTTCCAAAAAGATCGGTAACGAAAAATAATACACTTTATATCACTCCCCAGAAAATTCTACCTCTACTTCATATACAATTATTTGAAATTCGGTCAATTAGTTTCCGAAAAATTGGAAAATTTTCTGATACCGATTTCCCCAAAGATCGGTAACGAAAAATTATGCACTTTATGGCAGTCCCCGGGAAATTCTACCCCTACTTCATATAATTCTTTAAAATTCGGTCAATTAATTTCCGAAAAATTGGAAAAATTTTGTAACCGGCTTCCAAAAAGATCGGTAACGAAAAATTATACACTTTATAGTACTCCCCGAAAAATTCTACCTTTTTTTCATATATAATTCTTTTAAATTTAGTCAATTATTTCCCGAAAAATTAGAAGAATTAGAAAAATCGGTTTCCAGAAAATCGGTAGCAAAAAAATGGCCACGACATTTTCATCCCCGGGAAATTCTACCCCTGTTTCATATACTTTTGGTAAAAATTCGGTCCACTAACGAATGAGTAGTTCGCGTACATACAGACAGACAGACAGACGGACAGACAGACGGACGGTACTTATATATATAGATATTTTGCAGGAAAGTGTATATTTGTTCCGCCAATAAGTGATTAACGAGAAAAACTCTATTTTTAATCGCCAACATTTGGTCGGATTAATCGTCACGTTTTGACCATGGGTTTTGGTCTTTTCTAAATTGATATAATCTTTGAAACTTATGTATAAGCATCTCATTTTTATTAAATTAAATTATTAAATTTATTACGAAAAATACTACCTCAGCCAGGATTCGAACAACCTGGAACTTCCCTCAATCCGTGTAGGGCGTCGTACCAATTCGACCACTGAGACATGTGGTAATATTTTTCGCAATAACACATCTTAAGATGAATAATACTAAGATGGAAACACCGATTTTTAAGTCAACAGTGTATAATCACAGAAAAGTGTATATTTGTTCCGCCAATAAGTGATTAATGAGAAAAACTCTATTTTTAATCGACAACATTTGGCAATGTCGTGTATAATATTTTGATAAGTTTAACTTCAGTGAAGCAAACTATAATCTTTTACTTGTCAAATTAAAAATGTTTACAAGAAATCGATGAGACATACAAAAACGAGAAAGTACGCGACGACTGAATAATTTAAAAGTAAAGTATAAGCAAAACACTCGCGTTCAATCACTTGTATTCTAGTTTTTCTTTTAGTATTTATTTCTGTTAATGATAGGTAGATAGAAAAATGTTTAAAATTAGATATCAATAGCATTTATTCCGTAATTGATTATAAAATATAAAAATTTGTTTAATGTTTATACATGCATCAATAACTTGAATATACATTCTTAATTTTTTTATTGAATATTATTTTAATTTTCGTAAAATAACAATAATTCAATTACAATATTAATATTCAATAACAATGTAATTATAACTAATAATTAATAATTTAATCGCAATTACTTACAGCGGTCGCCATCAGGCAGACGGATAGCGCAAAGAATCTCATGATTTTTTTCTTCATTAATAAAACACTTTTGATGCACTCAGTGTCTCGTGAACTGATGATGGTACCCTGATGCAAACTTCTACTTATATATCTTCCATGCAAACGCTAAATACGGCAATCGACGACCAAGAGAAAGCGCTATAGGAAACTTACCGCTGATAATCGTTTGACATGCGCGCAGAAAAAATATAACAGGAAAAACCTTGGTATCCACGCGGTCGATGCACGAATCAAGGAAGATACGCATTTATCGGGAATTTACGCCGCAATTTGCGTCATTCGGTCGTTTTAAAATATTACAATTTTTTTTATAACAAAGGAAGATTGATTATCAAAACATATCAAATATTTGAAGTTTTATTTACATTTTGATCGGAATTTAAAGACTGAAGGCATATATATAGGGTAATTTATGGTTTTTCGTTCAGCATTCTAGATTAGTATTAATTTGATATACATTTCAATTTTGTTATTTTATTATTTTTTAATAATTCAAACTCAGTAAGTTGGAAACATTTAGAAATTTCAGTGTTTTAAAACAATTAAAAAATTTTTTTGTTTCAAAGTGTTTGAAAATTTTGAAGATATTATGAAATGTCGATTATTGGTTGTGATGTAAGAGTTTTGATTTAGTAATCAGCATTTTATCCTTAAACAATCTCAAATTATTACTAAATAAATTGGCGTTTAAAGAAAATTTTAAATTTAAATGAAGAATTTGAGTTTATAAGTTTTGCGTTTGAAGGTTTTTAATTGCCAGATTTCCTTGACCTAATTTATATTACATAACAATCTATAAAAATTGAATAAAAATGATCGTGAAGTAAACACGATGATCGCTATCTTTGAATCACAACGGGAATTCCCCTATTTTATCCTGTCTATACGACTTCGCATGACCCTGTTTATGAGTGCATTACGATAACTCTGTGTTCTCAAGATGTTGCATTTATCCAGATGATATTTGCAAAAATAACTCATAAAATATTGTTTTGCTTTTTGCAAAACAGATACGGACAGATACAAAAGATGATACGGACTCATCTTTTCAAAAATTATGCATTTGTTTTTCTCACGGTCTTACATACAGGTCTCTCAACTCGATAGAATTTCAGTGGTGGGGGTGACTCCAATATCGAAGTCTTTTCTTGTGGTGTCGCTGCTATCGAGGGATGTCGATTTAACACGCGATTTGAAATACGTAACCTGTGTTGTCATTGCGTTAATAAA